ATCAGCTACTTGGGGGGGTGAAAGCTTTTTTTTTTGTATCACAGAATGCATATATATATAGGAGCATATTTTAATGCAAGTATAACGTGTGGATTCTAATTTTAAGAGCTCATTTGCAACATTTTTCTGTCTTGCAGGGAAATAAAATGCAAATTTGCAGCTACAAACAACACAAACTAATGAAAAACATGTCCAAAAATAATGAAAAGGCAAAAAAAAAAAAAATCTCTGGTTGTGCTGTTTCACATGAGGACATGTTGTGCATAATTTCACAGAAAACATTTCACCAGAATAAGAAAATCTTTCTTTTTTTTTTTACATTATATACCCAGACAAAGTCCAGATGGACAACAGAACCCCTCAAATCAGTGCCCAATTATATTTAGCAGTCACATTTAGTCAAAATGTGTATCACAAAAGGGGGGGGAAAAATTAAAAAAAAAAACAATCTCAAGCCAATTAAATAAACAGAATTTAAAGCAGCGAGTAGGACTGTTTGTTCGGCAGATGGCATCAGAGTCTGGATCCAGACTGCACTTTTTTTTTTTTTAAATGCAATGGATTTGTTTGTTAAAGTTAACTCAGCGCAGGGGTAGACAGCGGGAGTGTTAACTAAGAGGCGGATTAGAACAGAAACTACTGATGGAGCTGAGATTACGACAGCAGCAGCAGCAGCGGCAGATAAAATCTCACATGATCATTCTTTCTGGATGCATAAAAGATAAACATCTCTGTTTTTAGCCCCGCTTTTAGCAGACAATACCTTCATTATACATAAACCTCCGCTGCTTTCTATTTACGCGAGCTTGTTTTACACCGATTTTTTTTTTACTGTGATTGAGTCCTTGACCGTCCCTTTTTAATGGGTTTGCCATGACATTTCATGTTTAAACACTTCATCCATAATGCATTTCAACCATAAAGCAGCTCATAATGATCCCCCCACCCCGCTTCGGATTTACGAAAGACCACAGAAACAAACACATTACCAGAAACTGAAAGCATAAAGAGGAAAGAAAAACTGATCGGTAATTATGGCGACGTGAGGTAGAAAAGGAGGTTGGCGGGGCGGGTGGAAGGGGGTTGAAAACCGGTTGAGTGCTGATGAACATTTGAGCATTTCTACATGCCTGAAGGAATTCCATTAACCACTCTGATTAAAGTAATCATTGGAGCCATCGGTGCCTGTCAGATGCCATCCCTGCCCTCTCAATTACCCAGATCTCCTTGAACTCAATTGCTCACATCATCGTGGAGACTGGGTGGCAGGAAGGCAGCGAGGCAGCGCCGAGGACGAGGCATCTTCGGCGGGGGGTAGGCGAGGCAGCGCTCGAGCATATGGGAAACGTCCACCCACCCTATCCATCTCAGTATACAGAGGGCAGGCTCATATTAGCCTAATTATCATTTACACATATTGTTGCAGTGTCAGGTGGTGCAGTCCAAATGTGGGGAAATGAAGGGTGAAAATTAAAGAAACGCTTGGAACTAACTGTTTTCTTATTAGGAGTTAAGCGTCAGTTTAAGCTGTCAGTCCCAAAAAAGAAGCTGGGCTCCGGCATTCATATCGTGTTCTTGTCCCGATCACACAAATACTGTCAAATAGGACACATTTGATTCAGCTGTTGACATCCTAGTGGTATATCATGAAGTTTAAAGAAGTTTCATCTTTTCTAATCCACTTAAAAATAAAAGAAATGACAGAGAAATACAAAAAAAACATTCATTTGGCATAAAAAGACATAAAACCATTGAAAAACGGTTCAGTTGAACAGCAGTTCATTGACTTTGTGGTGATTAGATTACTGAAATCTAATTGAACATCTTCATTTTTGCTGTTTATATCATTCAGCTAATTCCCACAAACTTCCAGCTGATGGGTTTCCCAAAACATCTGATGCAGAAACAGGGGTGGAAGGGGGCCCTGCGTTCACCCGTAGGCGCCATATTTTGTCTTTACGGCCCTGTGCATGTGATCAAAACAAAACTCTGCCAGCGACATCTGATAAGTGATAAAATATAAGTCTTAGCGGCACAATCAAACCCACAAAGTGTTTAATTAGCCTGGTATTTTCAGCCCACTGTTGGAAACAATAATTGCCTCCACGTACCGAAAATAGCAAAGAGGACCACGCCAGCGCTTCTTGCAGCTTGGACGGGCTTCACGTCCTCCACATTGATTCACTCTCAAATGGAAAGCACAAAGTGTAAGAGAATACTGGAGGCACAGGCTGCCCCCATCACTGTCTCGAAGAAGTTTCCCAATTTTTTTTCGGAGCTAACTTCACCACCGGCTTCCTTGCTGCATGCAGAGCGAAGCCCTCTGTGGCGGCTACATCTGCACCTACATCACGCTTTGTGTTGCATCAGCCCCACATCAGATTTCGCACAATAGGTTTAGCCATAAATCACGGGGGCTCTTGTGCGGCATGAGGCAACACAGTCGGAGATATTTCACCCCAGAACTTCTTATCCTTGTCGGAATACAGATGTTGACCATTGCACTATTTTTTTTTTTTTTTAGTGTTATTGCTGAGATTTTTCTGACAACAAACCGCACGGCGACGCAAAGCCCATGGAAAGCTACAAATGGACTAATCCGCGTAATAAAACTCTTCCTTGATGCTTTCCATTTGTGTTAAGACCTAAAGAGCCCATTGGCTGATTAAAAGCATTATTCCTGCGCACTCCTGCAGCAGCCATTTACGCCGGGACAGAGTGCTGGGTCATAAGAGTGATAAACCTCCACACTGGGAGTTTGGGTGGAAGAGGTGCACACACACACACACATATGCAGTAATAACGGGCCCATTTGGAATACATGATTCAGTGATTATGTAATTGTGCTCAAGCATTCTTTTTTTTTCTCCCTTTCCTCTGCAGTTCTGTGAACTTCGCCAAATCATCCTGGAAAAATACAATATTCTCGGAAATTAAATAATATTACAAACACAGCATCGCCATCTGTGCTGCATTTTAAACAATTTGTCATCTTCAGGTCCTTGTTTCACCTCAGTAATCTATAATTTTTCTTTTTTTTTCCCCCCCTCTTCAATATTGGCAAGAGAAAAACAAACACAACTCCATGTCAAAGACGGTCAGCACTGTGCCATCCCATAGGCCACCGAAGCCGGGCAGCTACACACACACTTCTTGGCTATGATTCACATCCCCTGCTACATGTATGACACATCCACAGTTACACTCGGTTCCAGAACTCCTCATCTCCCAAATGGTGCCTTCTGTTCTCATTCTGGCCTTCTATGAAAAGATCCAACAAAAGGAGAGAGAGACCCAGAGCGTTTCATTTTTCTTTCTTTCTTTTTTTTTTGTGTGTGTGTCGTCATTGAGAAAAGGCAGCTGGCACCACGCTGAAGATTAAAATTACTGACAAAAATACAGTGATATGACAGAGCTTGCTACCTGCGACTTGTAGAATTAATTCCTAATAATTCCTTCTGTGTTAAGAATTAAATGACAGATTTTTTTTTTTCTTTTCTCACCACCTCTCCAGAAAGATCCCTGCCTGTCTCTGTTAAGCAACGTTGAATTCCTAAACGGTGACGCTCCCTGCACAATGAAAATGGTGGCACAGTGCATCCTTTGCATTTTTATAGGCCTGCTTTGCATATTGGATTTAAGTGGGTCAAGTGAGGAGGAACTCGACAAAGAAAAATACATAAATAAAAAAAATCTAAACAAGCACTTTACAGATTAAAAAAAACCTTTCAATTCATGTAGAAAACTACCAAACAATTAAAAGTGAAAGAAACGGTTCGAACCCTTAAACCAGCTCTTCATCATTTCTGCTAAAATTTATTTTCAATTCAGCTCCAGTGATGTTTGTATAAATGACCTCCTCGTCGCTTGCCATCGCCGATGCAGTTGTCATAGCATGATAGCAAAAGGACAGCCTTAGATAATGCTCATTGATTAAAACCCATTGATCCCCACTGAGACACTAGCTTCCCCCCCCTCTGAGCACATACACTGCATCTTCATCTGCTTTGATAGAGTCCACAACGTAGTCAGTTCTCGTCAGCCAATGTATTGTCATTTGATTACAAAATAAAAATCATTTCTCCGCTTGGAACCGAACCTCCCCCAATGGCTTCCCTTCAATATCAACCAACCATCAGCTCGAGTTGTCCTCATAAGCACATTATATGAACCTGACATCATGTTTATTTGATGACAATAACATAGTTTGGTCAATATAGTGCAATAAGTGCAAAGCAATCAAAACAAATGAAACCGATAAGTAATAGAGAATCTGCCAATGCTTGTATAAAAATAGGTGTTACATTGATTAAAATATCAGTATTACACAACATAATCCATACTTCAAATATCATTTATGAATTCTTGTTTTGATAACATATCAATTCTACATATTAAGAATGAATACCCATATTCATTTTTAATATAATAATCTCCTTTATGAGAGCTCAGTGAAGGCTAACTCGCCTTCCAATTCCAAAAAGTGCAGAAAGCATACAAAGACACTTTTTTTTTTTTTTCCTTTTTTTTTTGTTTGTTTTTTTTTTCATCTTCTTCAAATGACGCAGTCTGTTTTGAACATTTGGGGGTGTGCCACTTTCAAAAAAAGCCACTTTTACAATGCAGAGCTACAGTAAATGAAACTACAAACATAAGCCTTTCCAGAGGGTCATGGAGTATGATGACACAGGTAATATTGATGTAGAATCAAAAGTTTTGAAAAGACATGGCAGATTATATCAATAAATACTTACTTACAGACTACAGCAGAAAATAGTCCTACACAGTTTTGATGATCTGCTGTACAGTGTTTTTTGTCCAGGAGTGATTTTTTTTTTTTTTTTGTGTTGTTTGTTTTCTTTTTTATAAACATTTCTTTTTCTGATTCACAATATACCTTATGTATGGTTATATTCCTGAAAATGAAGTTGGGTAAGATTTACCTGTACACTTACATTTTGTGTGTTATTCGATCATCTTCACCATAGAAAAATAGATTTTGCATCATCAGTTAAGTAGAGCAATTTTGTTCATCCATGTTTCAGAAAGCTGTATCCATTCCTGTAATGTCATGTTTCAGAAATAAGAATAAGATTGTTCGGCACACCCCGTTTCAACTCCTTTCCGTATTCGCTTCGTTTGTGTTGTGCCAAGGCACCCTTATAGACTGAGCCGCTGCTTCGAGGAGGGGTCAAGAGAGAAAATGCTTCATTACATTAATGATTCTGTTGCTCAGAACTGGCTAAAGGTGGTCTGTTTCTCAAGAACTTCGAGGTAATCGGGCTCAGACTGCAGTTTAGCTTTTAGCTCCAAATACTCGTTTCTGTTGGGCTCGACATAAACAGTACTGGGTGCTGTGCCATAGAGCACTGTTTCTCTTATCCTCTCCGGGTGCAAGAATTGACGTCTGACATCAAAATTTGGGTTGTACGTGTACGACACAGGCCCTGTGTACTTGTACTCTAAATTGGCACCTGCTGGGATGGAGGGGATGGACTGATGGGGGGACTGCTTGTCCGGCTCGAGGATGCCTCTGAAGAAATGGTCTGCATCCTGGACGGGGGAAGGGTTTTCTCGTGGCTCGATGGTGCTCACGCTGTACGTGGGGCTCCTCATCGTGCTACTATCCCTCTCCTCATCCGGGGTACTCCTGTACGTGACCTTGAGCTCATGGAGGTCACGGTAATCCTCCACCGTGTTCCCTTCCCGCGACCTGTAAATGGGATTTTTGCACATGTGGCCCATGGGATGTGGAATATACTCGTAGACGTGACCGGCCGGGGCTTTAACTTTAGGGCCGGAGCGGTTGCTGTAGAGGCTGTACTGCAAGTTAAAAGAGCTGACATCTGAGTTGTTGGTGCTCGTGCGGTCGCTCTGTGACTTTTTGCGCTTTTTCATCACCACGACAAAGAGCCCCGCAGCCACGAAGACAGACATGATGAAAACAAGCAGGAGGCTGAGGATGAGGACAGAGAGGGGGACGGTGCTGCTGGGGGTGTTGAACTTCTGCGGAGCATCCGTGGTGACAACCCGGTCGTCCATGGGCTCGTCCGTAGGGGGAGTCGGCGAGACGTATGCGTCGGAGTAGTCCGGGCAGAGCTGCTCCGACTGGATGGAGCGCACGTCCAGTCCTGTGTGGCGCTTGGGCGTCTCGCACACCACCTCGTTCACCACGGTGCCCGCGCTGAGCTGCTCCAGCCATATCTTCATCCCCACTATGTCGCAGGAGCAGTCCCAGGGGTTTTCGAACAGATCTATCTGCACCAGCAGCTTCAGCTGATCTAAAACACCACTCACAGGCAGGTTTTGGAAGTGGTTGTTACGCAGATTAAGCCGAGACAGGGAGAGGCTGGAAAATATGCCCACGGGTAAAGTTTTCAGGAGGTTATTGTTGAGGAAAAGCAGCTGGAGATTAGGGAGGTAGCGGAAAGTGCCCGCATCGACCTCCTTGATTTTGTTGTACTCTAAATAAAGATACTGCAAGTTCTGCAAACCGAAAAACATTTCTCCTGTAAGCCTGTCCATGAGATTACCATTTAAATACAGCCTACGTAGGTTGGTTAAATCCCCAAAAGCCCGGTCGTGGATCAGAGTTATCCTGTTGTTTCCCAGGTGAAGCAAATCCAATCCAGTGGCATCGACAAAATCGGATCTCCGCACCACAGGGATGTAATTTCCAGTGAGATACATTTTTTTCGGATTGTATGGCTTGGGTTTTAGATCAGAAATGCTTTCAATCTTTCTCTCTTGGCAGTTGACATTTAACCCAATTTCAGATATCTGCAGATTACATGTGCAGGCAGTGGGGCAGTCCAAAGGCACAGGAGATTTGGTCTGAAAAGCAATGATGGGGCCATAGTTGTACGGGTTACCGCCTGGTATTCGAGAAGTGGGCTTTAACCTAGTTCTGTTAAATTGCCGTGTGCCCTTGGTAGGCCTAGAAGAGGACCTAAAAACAGCCGAAGAGGTGGCAGAGGCTGTGACAGCAGCTGGCGTGGTCTGGTAATATCCATTGGTGCTGCTAGGGGGTGCAGGCCTGACCGTGTCTTCGAGGGGTCTTCGCGGGCAGAGTTCCTGCTTGGACACCTCGTCCAGGTCCCTGCCGTGGAGCCTGAACGGCGTCTCGCACACCACCTCGCCCACCAGAGCCGTGTAGGCTATGCTCTCCAGCCAGGCCTTGAGAGCGATGAGCTCGCAGGAGCAATTCCACGGGTTCTCCTCCAGTTGTAATTCCACAACTTTGTCCATGTGCTCCAGGAGGCCAATGTAGGGGAACATTTTCAACCGGTTCCCCCTCAGGTCCAAGTGCGTGAGGGGGACATTCCGGAAGATGTTCGGAGGCAGGGCGGAGAGTAGGTTGTCATTCAAAATCATCACTGTCAGTTGGTGCAGTTTGCTCAAGGCGTTGGGCTCTATGTTGGTGATGTAATTGTAATCAATCTGTAGGTATTCCAAACTCTCCAGCCCCGCAAAGGTGTCATCCCTCAGAACCTCGATCTTGTTGTTATTCAGGTGCAACCTTTTTAATCCCTGGAGTCCATTGAAGGCACCCGACTCGATCTCGGAGATGTCATTGTTCCCCAAGTGCAGTATGGTCACCCCGGTGTAATTGATGAAATCATTGACCGACAGCTTCTTCAGGAGGTTCCCCGTCAGCAGGAGGTGGTACATGGAGAAGTGGACCGGGCTGATCTCCGTGAGTCTGATGATGCCCCGGTTCTCGCAGCTCACCGTCAGGATCCCTTCCTTCTCCTCGCATGTGCACAGGTTTCGGCAGATCTCCCCATAATTGTCATACATCTCAACCAGCCTCAGAGATGATGCAATCAGAAGGATTATTTTTAGGATCCAGATATGCATTTTTCCTGGGAGAGGATGCCCCAGCTCACTCAAGTGTGGTACCAGTATGAGGTGTCATCTAAGGGAGGAGAAGAAAAAGGACGGGTTCTGTTTTTAAATGTCATCACAAGTGCAACATTTACAAAAAAAAGCAAAAATGCAAATAAGTCAGCCCCATGATGGACAAATATTATGACACACAGAAGCAAAACACACAAGTAGGCCTGTTAATGTTTGTGCATTATGCAGATGTGGCATCGTTTTCTTTGGGCTTTGTCAGAAAACAAGTTCACAATCGCACACATACATTCAAGTTGTTAACACAACTACCCCGCGGTGGACGGCCACTGCGCATTTTTGATAGCTCGCCTGAATTCCAATCCATTTTGGAAGGACAAAAAAAAAAAAGCCTTAGCCATGCACCGTATGCAGACTGATAGATTTGGTCATTTACTAATTTAATCCACCACAAAAAAAGCACCAATCGCTGTCAAAATATCTCACTAGATGCCATTTTTTTTAACCCCCCCTCCTCCTCCCTCTGCGCAAACTAACATAAAAAAAAATCTCCAAGACGAACTCCAATCTCCAAAGCGTTAAAGATTTCTCACTCACCCCGCATACCCGACGACTTGGTAACAGTGTGTGTGTGTGTGTGTGTGTGTTGGAGAGAGAGAGGGGGGGTGGTGGTGGGGAGGGGGAACTGTCGGATTCCTTCTCTCCACCTCCGTCCAAACAACATGAGGACGCGCAATTTATCCGTCTGCTATGATTCCAACGATCCTCGGTGAGAATTTGGAAAAGAAAAGGGAAAAGGACAGAAACGCCGGCTGTCTTCAACGGATCGGAGCAGCCAGTGTTCATCTTAAAATCCGGCCTGCCATAGAAAATGTGAATATCAGCCTACAAGGCGACAGTCGCAGCCCTTCTTCTACCCACGGGCGGAATATATAAAAAAAAAAAAAAAAGAAAAAGAAACGAGAGGAGTTGATCAAAGGCAAAAATAAGCAGGAGTCGCTGATCTCACGGCGCATCTCTGATCCAAATTGCGTTTTGACGCGCGGTAAATAATTCTATAATCAAGCATTATGCATGGCATCTGCTATATAGAAGGTTACAGATAGCCTCTCTCTCTCCCTCTCTCCCCCCTTCTCTCCCCCACCTCTCTCTCTCTTCGCCACAGACGCGTGAGCACACGCACACACACACACACACACACACACACTGAGTCTGTGTGCGTTCCTTAAAAGAACACAAAAGCCCACACATCGACCCGCTAAATCACCCCAAAATACGCGCACTGGAACCAAAAAAAAAAAAAGATGCTGTACGTTTGGATGCCTGAGTGTTATTTTTCTTGCACATTTGAGTTTTATTACCTCAAGAAAAGCATCTCTGGGAATAATACACTTGGTGCGCCTTTCGCAGGGTGTCCCTGTGCACAGGCAGCAGGCTGTTATTCGGAACGAATAAAACTGTGATGGTATATGTGAGCATAAAAAATGCAGCCTCTATGCTTGTTATTGCCATAGCAGCCGCAGACACCTTGCTTAACAGCATCTTAAATCCGGATCAACTTCAGCAATGCAACTGAGGTGGAGGAGGAGGAGGAGGAGGAGGAGGAAGGAGGGGGGGGAGAAAACAGAGATTTCAGCACCACGGACAGATCCCCAAAATGTAAAAGCGCAGCTCAATGGAACGGAAAAAACGGGGTGGGAAGGGAAAAAAAAAACAGAAAAAAGAAGAGACAAATCATTGTCCTCTTACCGTGCTGATCCCGGTAAACACCAAAGCATCCCGAAAAATCACGGCTCCAACCTCACTGAAAACATGGATTTTCACCGTCCGCCCTTCCGTCGGCTTCCTCTCTCTCCCTCTTTTTTTTTTTTTTCTTTTCCTAAAAAAAAATAAAAAATCTAGTCAAGTCTCCTCGGTGTTTAGCTCCATAAACCAGGCATGGAAGCGCACATACAGCCCTACAGTCTCATTCACGCCAATAACGTGACAGCCAGAGCGGCGAAACGGGCTCCTGTATTCTTCTTCCAGCGGCGACTGAAATCAGCAGTGTCATCTCGGAAAAAGAGCCAAAACCAAAGTTCGAACATGGTTGAGAAAAGGGGGCGACTAAAACCGCGGTAATCCCACATCAGACAAGACTTGCCGCATGCATTTTAACTGTGACTTTCATCCATGCGCACTGGCGAAAGCGGAGGAGAAGAGGCACGAATCCCCCCTTGTCTGCTGCCAGTGGTGCGGCTTGTACCAGTTTATGTATAGATCTGCCCAAGGTCTCTTTATTTGAATTGCCAGTGCGTCCAAATCGACCGGAGATCAGTGGATATGTTCCTCCAGCTTCGGATGCGAGAATCCGATCCCCTCTTTTTTTCTGCAGCTCTGCATTTGGTCATCCGATATCCTCTGTAGCTTCTTTTTTTTTTTCTTCCTTCTTCTTCGTCCCACCAACGTTTTCAACTAGTGGAACTTGATCTTGGTTGGTGCAAACCAGCGCATACCCTGCAGCGATGGACGTATTATGAAACAATTACCATAGTGTGACAGTCAGAAAAAAGGAAGAAAAAAAAAAGAAACGTGAAAATGCGTAAATCCCCCCAATCTCAGGACTGTCACAGCGCGGAAATGAAAAGCAATTTAATGCGTGCAATACTCTTTAAGGGGGTATGGTAATGTGGAGGAGGAGGTGGGGTGGGGAGGGAGGCAGTAGGGAGAGAGAGGGAGGGAGGGGTGATGATGTTAGGTGGAGAAGGAGGAGGAGGAGGGAGGAAGAAGAAGAGAGAGGCTGGAAGAAGAAGAAGACCCGTAGAGGGCAGCACAATGATGAAAAAGGCATCTTGGCAGGCTTTGCATTTCTCAGGCTGCACTTTGCAAGTCAGTTTCTTTTGATTCAGCAGCAGCAACCATTTGATTTGTCACTCACGGCTCCAGCTATTTTTTCCACCAACCTCATTTCCATGCTTTTGAGCTCCACAACTGGACAAGCTTCCTTTCCTTCCAATTATTAACGTGCCATAATAGCGTCCGATCCTCCTCGACGATCCTTTTTTTGATTTCCTCTCGGAGAAGTTGGACGTATATTAGTCCGACAGTCATCCTGGATTCCTTGAAAGAGCCTTGAAATATTCAGGAAAATACATATTAGCACCATTACCTCCTTCCAAACAACAAAAAAATCACATCATTCGCCAATTACATGACCAAACTTTCCACCAAGCGGGTATTAAAGTCGTCGCAGTCAGCTGAGGTCAAGCAAACATTCATTTGCAAACATCTTTATGAATGCTTCTCGATACACGGATTAGGCCTATAGTCACGGAAAACACAAATTTACAAGAGATCTGCATTGAAAGAAATGAATTTACTGTAGGATTAGGCTTAATCCAGTTTTGCACCAAATACTCCAGCCTCCTAATGCTGCCGTGTTGCTCAGTATTTTACCCAATCGTGGCTTATTTGCCCCTTGTTGAAAGAGCAAATCAAGTCAAAGCCACAGCTGCCCTCTTACCCTCTTTTTTTTTGTTGTTGTGGGACAAGAAACTTTAGAAGCACTTAACTAAAGCCTGAACAGAAAATCGAATTAAATCTAGCATATGGTGGGCCGCCATGTCCAAAGAGATTTCCCACTTAGTCAGTATTGTGTGGTAATAAGTCAACTCTTATGCTCTCTTTAGCATGCGAGGGGCGACAATAAGCGGATGTGGCATCCGTGCCGCCTTTTCGAAATTAGCCGTGGAGATGCATTGAATTATCTTAAAGTCTCGAGTCTCTGTAATCGTATTAGGAGTGGTCTATCCTGTGGGGATGGGCGAATCAGTATCTGTGGCTGGAAGAACTTAATGCAGCAGGGTGTTTGCTCCCTCTCCTCTGGAAAAGGAAAAAAAAAAAAAAAAAAGGGGGACTGTGGCTGGCTCCCTAGAGAGGCAGCGTGGCATCAAAGCGAGGGGTGTAGTTGTCCTAAATCATGTTTCGCCTTAAATGACTTTGTGTAGTGCTGATGGGAGAGGTAGATACCCTTGATAAAGTGGTGGCTGGGCGATGACGGCGCTGTGCGAGTTTTGTAGATAGAACTTTGTTGGATCAAAAGTTTGGGCCCCCCCTCGTCTGGAAACACTTCCTCGCGCAGGCACACAAAAGGTGCAGCGCGTGTGAACATGAATTTCTCCTTCACAAGGCTAATGGGTTCATATAAACATGAAAGCTATTACCATAGATCAGCTGCTTAAAGCACATAATATTATAATCAGCTCTGGGACAAATAACTAAGCTATTAAATGCAAATGAAAGTTCACGCTATGGTGAGCTTAACATGTATCTTTTGCATGAACTCAACTCGGTGTATCTTAACCATGATGCTTTTTTTTTTTTCCCCCCTCTTATGAGCTCATTAACATTAGCATAATGGCTATTAAGTAATGCAAAGTATGTTCAGCTAAAAGTTGGGTCAAAAAGGTGTGATCTCGTGGCATAAGTTTGGCGTGGTTGCCGCGGCAACAGTGAGTGAGCACCATCTTCATATTTTTGGTTTCATTTGACGAACCAAGCAGGAATTACACATTGTTCCACGAGGAGTTGTGCACCATTGTCGTGAAGTTTTGTCTGCGCTTCACCCACTTCATGATGTGAAATTAGTTGTGATGGTATTTTTTTTTTTTTGTAAATTGGGATTTCTGCACTCACTTGTCTGTGATATCAAAGAAAAAAAAACCCTTCTGGTAGACAGACTGTGAGCCAAAAACAGTGGGCAGGGGTGGTGGGGGGAACAATGAAATCTGCCTAAAAGAAAACATCTCCTTGGGGATATACAGTACAACACTGCACCATTGGTTGTTTTTTGTAATTAGACAATGGTATATTTAGAACACATCTTCTCGAAATTGCCTTTAATTTCACAGTTGTGCTTGACGAGTGCAGTTCAGGGAGAGGTTGCTGACTTGTTGTTTTTGTTGTAAACACGAGTGGGAAAAAATGTCCACTTTGTTTGAGTAATTTCCTCGTCTGGACCTGAC